TAATAATAGTAATATTGGTAATAGTGGGGGGATAACGGGAATTGGACCCATGTCTTATAAGTCTGTACACAAAGGCAGTGGCAATCCAGAAGTTCTGCGAAAGCGAGTCCATAACACTTCCACTATTAATACTACTAATAGTAATAATATTAATACTAATACTAATAATATTAATAATAATAGTAATAGTGGTATTAGTAGTGAGGGGCGAAAGGAAGTGAATTTCGTGGGATCCCGCTCTTCCTGTGCGGAGGACGCCGGTGCTGTGCCCAACCGCCCCCTCTCACCGCTGCAGCGGCGTCAACTTCTCTACAAACACAAAGCCGCCTTCACACTCACTCCGCAGGCCCTCCGCCGGGTGAAATATCTTCTCGCACAGGCCCGTGAAAAACAAAAAGAAGAAGAAATAGCCCCGGATGGGATTCGCATAGGAGTGCGTCGTCGGGGCTGTAGTGGATACAGTTACACAGTGAATTATCACTATCCAGAAGGGGAAACAGGAACGACAATAAAGGATAATAATAATAATAATAATAATAATAATAATAATAATAATAATATAGATAGGGCCATTGGGAGAAAAATGAAGGATGTGATAGTTGAGCAAGATGGTGTGAAGGTGGTAGTAGACAGTGATGCCCTCTTTTATGTGATTGGTACAGAGATGGATTACGTGGTGCGGAATGTAGAGGAGAAGTTTACATTCCGAAATCCCAATCAAAAGTACTCCTGCGGCTGTGAAGAAAGTTTTATGCCGTTTGATATTGATGAACAGGAGTAAAGGAATTCTTTGTTTTTTTTTGTTTTCTTTTTGTTTTCTTTTTTTGTGTTTTTTATTATTTCAATACGTATATATATATCTCTGTATACATATCTGCGTTTATTTGAAAGAAAGAAAAGAGAAAAAAGAAAAAAAAGAAAACGATGGAATATATTGACTCCTATGAGTTATTCTCTCTCTACCACTTGTTTGGTTACAGTAAATGACATATAATGTATTTCTGATCTCCCACTATTTGTAAGGGTTATCCTCGCAATATTATTATTATTATTATTATTATTATTATTATATTTCCTCTTCTGTTCCCACAAGAATATCAACACCAAACACCAACTACTATTGCTCTTACAACAACAACAACTGTTATTATTATTACTATTATTATTACTATGAGTATTATTTCTCTGGCAGTCTACTCCCCGCTACTGCCATTACTTCAGGTTAATGGCGGTACTATCCGCCTTGTTTTTTCTTTTTTTATTTTCTTCTGAACCTTCAGATTGACTACGTATACTCTTCACACTCAAACACAGGGGGAAGAGGAAGAGGAAAAAGAAGAAAAAGAAAAAGAAGCTCAATATGTGTATGAATTAGAGGAGCTGTGTTATTAGCTGCATCTATTTGTATTTCTATTTTTTTTTTTTTTTTACTTTCTTTACCTTCTTTTTTTTTTTTTTACTTTGATTAAATACCTACAAAAGTACAAGGAAAGAAGAAGAGGAAGTGGGGGAAAAAAATCAAAATAGAGAGGGTAACGATACTTCTTTCAAAACACGAACAATAATGGTTTTCTTTATAAATGCAGCTACAACTGTATTGGAAGTCCCAGAAAATATCCGAATGCGGTTCTCCAGAAACCCAACATTACAGGAGCTCACTACTGCTGTAGAGTCTCATTTCACAACTGCAACCGGACACTTATTTCTTGTAGATAAGATGATGTTATTTGACGAGTACACATTTACATGGATGGATCTATACAGTTCCCTACAGTTATCCACAGACTGTCAGGTGTATGTATTTCACCGCAGTCAACAGCAACAGCAACCATCAACTCTTACACAGACTCCACCTATGAGTATTCCCTCACCTACAAGGACGATTTCTTGTAATTTTCCATTAACGAACACTACCATTTCTTTTTCTTCTTCTTCTTCATATTTGCCTTCTACACCTTGTTGTTATTGTTGTTGTTCTTCTTCTTGCTCTCATCATAAATGGATGCATACCCACAACAACAACAACAATAATAATAATAATGATATTCTTACCAAGCATGAGTGTAGGTGCAAATGCACAGGCAGCGGTAGTAAGAACATTTCCAACGATCATTCCTCTCAAAAGAAAAAGAATGATGTGGCTAAACGACGTTGGAGGGCAATGGGGTTTGGTGAGAAACTCCGCACAACATTTAATGAAATGGATATTCAACAGAAAGGCTATCTTGTATATACAGACTTTAAGCGTGTCATCAATGCCCAACAGAAAGTTTTTATTAACCACTCTCCCGAGGCGTTATTTACATTGGCTGACAGAGATGGAGATAATTCTGTTTCTTATAAAGATTGGGTGGGTTTTGCTACCACACATCCAGCGGTGATGGAATCTCTCTTCACACTTGTGCCTCTACTGCCGTGGTTCTCTGCGAAGAGAAATCGTTCGTCCTTAAGAGTACTACCGGTTCCCTCATCACGGGCGATATTAGAATATGAAGAGGCACGACTTGCAGAAGATGCCGCTGTTGTGATGGCTGCTGTTGTGGGAAGGTAAAATACAAGGAATGTAGTCTTTCATATATATATATATATATATATATATATATATGTACACATACATATACACATTCACTATCTTTTTACAAGAAGAGAAAGAGAGGGAGAGAGAGAGAGAGAGAGGTAGAAGTGAGGAATGCAAATTTTTGTATTGTAGATTTATTGTATTGTAATTATTTTAATTTAGAAAGGGGGCTGTGGGGGGAAAAAAGAAAAGAAAACAGAACGATAATGTTTCTCACTTTTTTTTGTTTTTTTTATTTTCTTGTGTTGTTGCTGATATTATTTTTGTATTTTTTTTTTCTTTTTTTTTTTCACTCTTTCTATGTTATATGTGCATCTGCATGTTAACAATGTATATTGGTGCTTCTGTGTAAACATTGAAGGAACAACAAAAAACAACAAAAAACAAATATCGAACGTACAAATATAATTATTGTTACCATTAGACGCAAGCGAAAAAGAAAGAAAGAAAGGAAAAGTACGCTTGTATCCACATACATACATAAATACATATTTATTTATTATTATTATTTTTATTTTTTTTTGATTTATTTATTTTATTATTATTAAATCGTGAATGGCTAATAGACTCTCTTCTTCCCTCACTCCAGGCCAACGACCACGTCGTCAGTATCTCAACAAGGCAACGGAATTCTTCTTTCGTGAACTTGATAAGGGATTCTCCTCCATCTACGTTGTCCTCTCCACAGGCGCCCTGCTCTCCGTCGCTGGATGGAAACTCATGGTTTATTATATTGAGCCCAGACGAGCCACTCAATTCGCGGAGTGGCGCCGGCCGTATTCCCGCGTGCCGCTGAGTGATGCGCACAATTTCTTCTGGGGATTTGCGGCCGCGGAGCCTCATCCCAATCACATCGCGGCCGGCTTGACGGCAGACGTCGAGGAGGCCCTGCGGCGGCCCACACTTGTGTACAGCGCGGCGAGTGAAGTGGGCGGCAGTGTGATGTGCATGCAGCTGCCGGAGTATGATGCCCAGCGCGGCGATGATGTGGTCTACCGCAGTCTACACTACGTGGAGAACTCTCCATCTATTTTATCATCATCATCATCATCATTAGTGGAAGTAGTGGGAGGAGAAGAAGAAGGAAGAGGTGGAAACACTATGAAAGAAAAGAAATCACAACAACAACAACAACAACAACAACAACAAAAGAAAGAAGAGAAAGAGGAGGAAGAGGAGACATCTTTGTATCTCTCACGTATGCCGGGTGGTGGGGCCTCTGTTATTCACGGTATGGTGAAATGTAAAGCCATTACATCACAGAATAATTGTGTTCCATACGCTGGTCATCTTGAAAGTGAATATGCACGGAAGATGATGTTAGCACTTGGGCCTGTACATATTCTTCGAGATATTGCGAAGACTACTTTTCCATTCCGCTTCACCACAGTGAAAGAGACTCCCATCTCAGCGCTTGTGTGTGGTCTCCACAGTGGTGAGATCCCACGTTGGCTGAGTAATACATTTCCAAACTTTCACGTGGATGTTGTAGAGCGTGATGGGACACTTGCACGTATTTGTCGTCGCTTTATGGGATTTCAAGAATCCAGCAATCTTCGACTTTTCATTGCAGATCCCATTGAATTTCTTCGACATAGTGCTATCGTGAATACTAATAGTGTAAATAGTAGAGGATCCGCAGGACAACGCTATGATCTTATCATGCTAGACACCGTAGATGGTATGGGAAAATTAAGCACACAGTATGGTCGATTAGAGTTTATTAATAATGTACGTAATAGTTTAACTTCTGCTGGATGTGTGATTGCGTCTATTCCTAATCGAGATGGTGCATTTCTATACAATATGGTCCAGAATTGGCGTGTCGCATTTACAGGACGTACAGTGATTCTCGTTCACTGCGTAACATCTCCACATACGATGCTGATGACTTTTCAAGATGATGCGGATCGGGGAAAAGCAAACTTTGGCGCAGTTGCAGATGCCGAAGAGTTTAGAGATTTATTACGTACAAAACTTTCCCACTACGGACCACAACGTGTAACCTTTGATCTCACCCGTGAAGTCTCTGATGAATCCTTTCGCATACTCTTACCAGGCCGAACATATCCGTTAACGGCGTATTTGCCAGCTGGACACCCGGAGTTGAAGGATGTATCCACGATGAGAAGTGAAGGAGGACGGAAGTGGGGTGATTGGCTGCGGCATTGGTCTAGCACGTGGTTAACGCCAACTCAACGGGCAGATTTGCAGAACATGGGGAGATGATAATGATTATATATATATATATATATATATCTGTATATGTCTATATGTGTGTATGATGTACAAATAAGTGGGGATACCTTTCTCTCTCTTTCTCTGTCTCTGCTCCTTCTCTTCCCCTCCCCCTTAGTCTGTGTCTAAGGTGATTATTTCTTTTGAGGAACATAGAAGAGAGAGAAAAAAAAAAAAAAAACGGAAAAATGGAAAACATAAGAGTGTCTCTCTCTCTCTCTTTGTGTGATGAATAATTCTTTTTTCTTCTTCCTCCTTTTCTTGCAGGGAAGACACAGCCATGAATGAAATCTACTGCATTTATCGTATCATTAGCTGTTATTTTATTTTTGTTCTTTTGACTTATTACTAGTAGGAGCAGCAGGATCCGTATTAGTAGCAATAATCGTGGGAATAAAAGAAGCAACAAGAATAACAACAAACCCCCCTTTCTTTCTTTCTTTCTTTCTTTCTCTCTTTTCCTAGTCTATATATATTTCCTTCATTAAAAGAAAAAAAAGGAAAAAAAAAGAAGGGAATTCTGAAAATAAGGGATTCTTGTTATTTATTGATAGACTAAAAAAACAATCCACAACTCACCCACCCCCCCACATGTTCGGTGTAACTGTAGTGGCGGTAACAAAAGTTATTGTAGCTGTCTGTATAGGTGCCTTTACATGCCGAAAGATTCCAAACGCCTCAGTCACTATTCGTGATTTTAGTTTTATTATCGCCAATATTCTCTTGCCGTCTCTTACTTTCTACAACACCGCTGTCTCTGTGAATGCGGAGTTGTTATTACGAAGTTCCGTTCTTATTGTTTTTGCTGTATTTGTTATTGGACTTGGTTTGGTCTGTGCTGCATTAGCATCTAAAGTATTATATCCTGTAAAGAATACAGGAATCCCATATGAACTGCGAAAATGTCTACGCTACACATTAATATACCAAAATGCAGAGGGATCTAGGGCAAGTAGAAAGGAACGTCGTCGGAATAGAAAATTGCAGAAACAACAACAAAAACAACAAGAACGAGGAGAAAGAGGCCAATCACAATCACAACAACAACCACAACAACAACAAGAAAAGTTATTACGACCTGTTGTATGTATTGTAGTGAGTGGAGAACTGGAAAAGCAGCGTGTAGAACCGGAAGAAATATTACCACTGATTGAACCACCCGCTGTGGAATATGAAGAACAGCCATTTTATTATTACGCTACAATGACTGCCTGTTCCATACAAAATACAGTAACACTTCCACTTTCACTACTTCAAGCGTTGGCGGCATCTCTCGCGTGGATTGATCTCGCCGCTGGCACTTCCTATATATTTATTTACAGTGTGTTTGCGAGTGCCTATCTTTGGAGTGCGGGTCCTGTGCTGGTAGGACGGGCAAAGAAAGAAACAGAGAAACGAAGAACTATACGTAAAATATTGGAACAACATAAAAAACTTCAGAATTGTCGAGATGTGGCCACACAAACGGTATTACGCAGAGAATCCTCACGAATGGCATCTCCAAATTTCCCTATTTCACTTCCAATGCCAATTCCAATAGGCCCAGTCTCCACCACAACACCCCCACCAGCACCATTACCACCGCCATCTTCTTCTTCTTCTTCCGTTTCTTCCTTCTCATCTGCGGCGGTGGTGGCGGAGTCCGTGCGAGTGAGTGTGATGGACACAATCCCCACAAGAGAACCCACAGGGATGATGATGAAAATGATGATGGGAGCACACAGCACTGGAGAACAGGTGGATCTCCAAGCAAGCAATGATCAAGCTCCTCCTCTTCTTTCCGCAGCTCAGGGATTTTGTCAGACATTTCCATATGATTGGCGAAAACGCGGTCTCATTCGTGTTGTGTATTCACAAGAGTTTAAGGATGAAGATGAAGCGAAACCAAGTATGACTTCCATTCTCGCTAGTGTTGCACGCACAATAAAGAATACCGTACTTCGGCTGCTGGGAACACTTGCCTTTACATCTGTGGTAGCAGGTGTTGTTGTAGGGATTGTTCCACCGCTGCGGTGGTTAGTGTTTGAAGGACCGCTTTCAATGGTGATGGATTCCATCGCGTTGGTTGCAGCGGGTTCTATTCCATCATCATTATTATTGCTTGGTGGTAATTTAGCAGGTGGAGCTCATCAAGCAACAACAGAGACAGAAGTGCGTTTGCGAGAGGCAGAACAGAACACAGAGTTCCCACTAGATGATGATACAGAAGAACCAAAGTATGTGGAGAAGTATAATGCAGCTCATGCGTCTATTGAATTTGATGAACACGCATCCTTTACGTTAATAGGACTACAACAAGAAGAACAGCGACTGCGAGAACTACAAATACAACAACAACAACAACAACAAAATGGTCATGATAATCAACGAGGCGCTACTTCTACTTCATCATCATCAGAGGGTTATGGAATGATTAAAGGTGCATTGGATCTTTTTTCATTAAATGGGGTTCGTAAAAGTTTTGTCTTTGGTGTTCTCTTCCTTCGATTATTATTGATGCCTACTATTGGTTTTACATTGGTATTAGCATTACGGGCTGCGGTTCCTTCTCTTTTTGGTGGAAAGACTGGACATGATGTCTTGTTGTTGGTTTTATTAGGTGAATTAGCGGCTCCTACTGCTATTAACGCCGCACTTTTGTTTAATTCCGCTCAGTATATGCCTGGTGTGTGGGCAAAGATGATGTTTTTTCAGTACATCTGCTGTACATTATCGTTTGTGCTTTGGTGCACACTTTCTCTCTATTTTGCAGGTTAGAGGACCACCATATATATATATATATATATATATATATATATATATATATATATAAATATATAAATAGGAGAGAAAGAAGAACGAAACAATTGTTGGCAGATGTGAAAGAAAAAAAAAAAGGAAAAATCTATATTTTTTCCAATATTTTCTCTCTCTCTGTGTCTCTCTGTGTGGTTGTGTGTGTGAAGATTCTTTGTGTCCCTTTTTTTTCTTTTTGCGAGGGTTATTTTTCTTGCAATTGCAGAGGAAGATTTTATATTTTAATTTGATATTGAGCTTTCTAATGAGATGTGTTGTATGATTAACCTTTTTGCTTTCTTTAGCCATATATATATATATATAGTCTCTCTCTGTTATGCAGCAGTAAACACTGCGGGGATGTGAATATAATGAACAAACTAAAAAAGGATTGGAGAAGCAGAAATACTTAAATTCAGATAAAGAGGCTCTGAACAGAGTCTGTAGGGGAAAAAATCCCCATTAAACATGTGAAATGCAGTGAGTGGGAGAGTGAAAGAAAAAAGGAGAATGTGAAAAAAAGAAAGAAAAAAAAAGTAAAGGTACTGATATGAGGGGCATAGAAACAGGAAACAAACACACATGCACACGGATGCATGCAAATGCAGTGAGAAGCAAAGAATATTCAAAAAGGAATAATGCCGGTAATCTCTTGAAGGTAAATTAAAACAAGAAAAAAAAAAGGGGTATGGATGGATATATATATATATATATATTTATATAAATATATATATTCTCTGTTTCGTTACGATGGAGCGACAAAAAAAAGTTAACGAGTGTAAAAAAAAAAAAAAAAA